TTTTTCTCAGATCCATCACTAAATGGAAAGAAATAATTTGTTCTTTTTTATCCATTTTCAGAGAAGAAAGAAGCAAAAATGAATGCTTCAAATGGGCCTACCTTCTTTCTTTCATTATGTTGGCGCTAAAATTTCGAAAACCGGCAAGGCCATCCGGGAAGACGATCCTGTCAGTATATTTCTCACTAGTGTGAAAGGCTTCCGAAAGAACTAGATTTGAGAATGTTGTGTGTACCACCAAAGCTCGCTACAATTAAATTGTTTAAAGGTATATTTTCTAAAATTTAAAAAAATGCTATGAAATTGCAATTAAACTGCTAAACAGGAATGTTTCGGTGTTTGAAGTTGTATACAGTCTTGCTATGCACCACAACTGGGCCTCGTTCGTACGAAGGTTGTGGTCTCAAACTAAAGGGTTGTGGTCTCAAACTCGACAGAGAGAAAATTGAAATACTCGCTAGTTCGAATACTATTAAATCATTCACAGCCCTTGCGAAAAATGCAGTCCGAACGATGCTTGTTGCATGCGAAGCATACTTGTTTGGTTATTATTAAGATGAGGCAGTCTCTCATCCTGGGGCTCTGTCCATGTCCACAGCAATTATAAGCCACTGCATCGTCTGGGATCTCGTCCTGACTTATACCTAAATGCTCGTGCATTGATTTGAACTGCGTAGATTTAGCCTGGTAAAATGCTACATGACTGTTAAAACTCCACTCAGGCTCTTGTAATATTTCTCATGAACGGCCGCCGTGATACACAGGGATCATATCTAAAAGACAGCGTCTTAACCGATTTCGCTTCAAAATTTGAATGGCTTAAAAGGTTATCGTTAAACAAATGGAAATCTGTTAACCAACTAATGGTTTATTTTTTATTAAATTTTTGAGAAAAAAAAATGGATTCGTTTAAAAGTATGTACGGGCTAGCTTGCAAAAATTCACAAATACCTTATCTTCCAGTGTTAGCTGTTGGAAGCTTGTGAATGACTTGGCCCATTCAATCAATGTGGAGAGAATTTTCGCTCGCCAGTATGAGAAATTCATTTTCTCATTCGATTTCATTTGATTCGCCTCATACTGCAAGCATATTTTTAACAAATTGCAAGTTGGAACTCGTCAGAATTCATTTTGTCATTTTTTTTTCACTATCAGTAGACAGAAAATGACGATATTTAATCAGGTAATATGATTGTGCATACCAGGCACTGGCCAAGACAAGATGTAAAATCAAGTGTTACAGAGTGGACCTCAGAACGATCCATGTGAACATTACTTCAGGTCTGAGCTAAATTTGCGCGTCTATTCTTCTGCACCAAAAAAACTGCACTAAACAGTTTCTCTCCTTTTCAGCGAAAACAGCAAATTCACAGCACACATATTTTAAATTGTGTACTCGTAGTTCATTCCTATATTGCCCGTAACACGAATATTTAACATTTATCATTAACAATCTTTATATGTATTACCGATTTTGTGCGAACTACAAAGGTTGACCATTTTTTACGGTTCACGCTATGTATAGTTTGGGTGAGATCACTGAAACTCAAATTTGTCGTTTTAAAAGAAAATTCACCGCAAACGAATGTGATACAAACATAATCCATTT